TGGTCTTTTTCGTAAACTAAGTCTTTGAAAGTTTCATAAGCGAAGGAATATAGTAGTTGCCTAGATGACGAGCTCTGAGAAGGAGAAAACGTGGCATCATGGCAGTCGCCGGGAAACAATGACGCTTATTTGGAGCAAGCCCACGAGGTGAGGCATAGAAAGCGAATATGATTCATGAAGGCAGTTCTGACTGAGCACCAGAGAAGGGCAACGTTTCCGTAATGGAAAGCATATGTTGATGAAGTGTTAACTGAATACATCACGGTTTGAATGCACGTGAAGAGGAAAAACTAAGTATTTATAGGACACGTGGACGAGTTGTTTGTGTTTTTTCTAGAACCATCAAACTCACCATGGGAGCAAAATACATTTTTGAACAAAGCCGTTGGACATCTCATGCTGAAAGAATTTGTGCACAGCACGCTGAATTGTGGCCTGTCTATCTCAGTCCAGTGACGGAATCGTTTTTTCATGGATCTTCGGAAATAATTTGCGACCATTTCACAATATTCGTGTAGTCCCGCTGTTGCCTCTGAAAAGGATTACGGTAGCTGATTACTAACCTTACAGTGAGCGTATTTAAGTGTGAGGAGGTCCATCACTCGATGTTAACTTATAGTTGATGCTCACTTCGTTGACTATCTTTGGAAAATTGGCAGATTTCCCTGATTTTCAAAGGACACACTCAACGATCAAACTGATTCTGGAGATTTTGTTCTGAAAGTAATACAAGTACAAGTGAAGTACATAGATGATCCGTTGATCCTGTTCATGTTCTAAGAAGTGCCCCCAAAGAGTCAGTATGTAAAGTTGTCACTGGGAAGTACGATCTGAAAATGACGCAACAGAAGCTGAGTATCTACTGGTCCTCCTCTTTAACACTGGTGGGGGTGGGATTAGCAAAATTCCTCCATGCCCCTTTTTCAGACCGTATTCCACTGCGCTGGGGCTTGATATCGACTGATCAGGAGCACCAAATTTGCAGTGTGTTATCAATATTCCTTTAGAATTATTTTAGACGTTGAGTGTGTCTTTCGAAAGTTTAATGAATTTTATTGATTTTTCAAAATCTTCATGAAATGATTATTGGTTTTCTGAGTGGCTGACGTTAGCGGATTATAGGACGGATGGTAATTTTCTCAGCAAATGTCTTTATTAGTAGGCGACCATACTCAGAGAATATCACCCGAATGAAGTCGTATACTGATCAGTGAACTTAGTTTCTCATCACACTTTCATGTGACAGTGCACTAGAAATGTTAGTTGTGGGTTAATTTAATCAAATGATTATGGACAATGTAAGGCTTTTTGTCGTCGCCTTCATATTTTTTAATCAACAATACGATCTGACAAGCGTTTTACGTGAGAGTGGTAAACAACCCAAGAAACGGTACAAGAGAGGTTTGTGAGCCGTAGTATCCGTTCTCTTCACTTGTGTTGTTACATCGCCATTAAAGAATGTGGGCTCAAGTCGTGTACTTAAGTGGGCCAAAGTTCTGATCTCAGTGCTGGTCTCCAGGTTGACAAGCCAGTTCGCTCATGAAGAACGTTACTTAGGGCCGAAAATCGACCCTACGACAGTGACGATGACGACGATCATGGCTACAGAGGAAAGCAGGATGCTCAGCTTGAATTTGTTCAAACAAACTACTCAGAGGAGGCTGGTAGGCTTGATGGGATGCGGTCCTTGGAAGTTACCCTTGACCGTGCATACGGTAGCAATGTCACTCGTCGTCGGCCGTTTTTATGAATAGTAAGACAGTGAGAACTTTAGAGTAAAAGTACCCAATGCTTAGACTAGAGGGCCAAAAAGGAAGATTGTGATGATGCCTTCGTCTTAAGGGATTCAGATTTTGATCAGACTCATTCAAGCTTTAGTCTTTATTATTTCGTTTCTGACCCATTCCAAAGGGCATGCTATCGCATTTTGTCGAGAAGTTTAGGCCTGGGCAGCTAAATATTATAAATTCTAATGATCTGGTAGTTGAAGGCGTTCAAAAATGTAATTATTCGGTGAAATTCTTAGGGCGTAAGTATACTTCGCATAATATGCCACTGCCAGATAATGTAGCTCGGTAGAACTCGGAGCGCACATGAGAACTATTGCAGTATGGCTAAATAGAGTTTTGGTCAATTATAGTAATAATTATGTTAAGGTTTTGTATTACTTTATATAGTGCCTTATGACTAAGTTTGTCAAACAGTTATGTTTGTGAGCGAATTTTTTTCTGGTTAAATAAACCATATACTCCTCTCATTCAATCTTAATTTTTGAATTATATAACTAGTATTTTGTGGAATAGGCCCTCGCTACTTATTGGGAAGCAGAAAGGGCAAGCTGGTTTGAGTTCAAATAAATTTTGGGAATTTGGTTGCTGAAGCCGCACTCCGAATAATCCGATTACGTTCTTCCGTAATTTCGTTGACAAATGGACCATGAAAAACAACAACTCGTCCACTGCGTGCATGCGTTGTTGATTTCATAGTTCTGGAGGTATCCAATTGGCATAGCTTCCATAAAGGGATTTGTGTAGAATTGGAATTCCAAGCGAATAATATTTTTTGTATCCATTCTTATTGGTTCAGAATGTCCAATATTGGAAACTGGAGAACTTTTCGTTTAAAAGAAGTTTGATCAGTAGATTGCCAACGTCGTAGTGTTATTCTGTAGATTCCTACTCCCCACCACCCAACTTGCCTATTTGCCATCCGAGCAAATATGAAGGCGAAATTTTTTTTTCGATGTGCAGTTGAGAAAATGGCGGTTGGTAGTTCGAATTGCTTCGATTTATCCATTTACTAGTCAGTTTGGCTCCTTTTATCCGTGCTTCCCTCGGTTTCTCAAATATTTTGCTCTTATCATGCCTGGTCTTTTTCACGAGAGGGCTCAGGTGCAGGCAGTCGGAAAATAGCGACAGTTTCAATTCCGAAAGGCGCAAAATAAAATGTTCAAATCCAGAAATTAAGCATTTTCAAGGCTCGTAGGAGAGGGAATAGGGGGGAGGAGATTAGTGTGGAGTCGATTATTTTTACTTGTCGAGAGCTGGAATTTGCGCGATTTTGCTGGGTCCGTAGAGAACCTTTCCGATCAAAGAAGTTCTGTAACCGCTATATATATATTTTTGGGTTCCTTGCATTTTTTCGAATTTCTCCGCGGGAATTCTCGCTATCACCAAATGTTTCACTCCTTGACTGTCCAGTCGCTAATTGTGCCTCCAGTGGATGCAGGGCAACCTATGAATCGTTGATGAACAATCTTTTGGCAAAACAACCCATCCCCTCAAGATCTTTCCTTAGGCTGAATATTATACTTATAAATCCGAAACTGGATATATGTGCCCCTAATAAAATCAGTGAAGCAAACAAGCTATGACAGCAGAATAATTTGCTTTGACTACTAGATGGTC